TTCTCCTTGTCCCTCCTCAGGAGATACATCGAGAGAGCTGTGAATGAAGTGGATGCTGACTGTCAGTTAAAATTAGTGTAGTGTAGCTAGTCGACTGCGACAATTTAAATGTTTATCAACCACAGTGTTGATCACTTGGGTCAGAGGCACACCACTCACCCTACTCAATGACGGCTTTCCCAGCCCTACGCAATATAACACATAGTCGTTGTTTAGTGGTAGACCAGGAGAGATCAATGGGGAACAATAGAGAAGAATAGGTAAAATGTAGGAATTAATCAATTGTAAAAGTAGAGGCATTCAGTTATACCAGAGAACCTCAGTTTCTTATGTTAAACGAAAGATTTTTTCACAAGTCAACACGATATGAGACGACAAAGAAAGATCTGAAGTGAAACTCAATTCAAGATAGATAACACTCGATTCACTTTCTACAGAAATACACCATCAATGCAACAGGTGTCATGAGACTTGAGCATCTCACACTAGTCCGTCTTGTTTACACCTCAGTGTGAAATTAACAGTGTGATATTTAGAAGGGTTTAACTTGAGATCATTTAAGAGAGACCATTGGTCAATTACAGACAGGAATCCATTTAAGTGAGAGAGTTGACTGGAATAGAAGCCATCAGGTCATCAGCATACTTAACAAAATTAATTTCAACAGAATGAGGTAAATCGTGTAGGAAGAACCAGAACAGAAAAGGGGAAAGTAAAGTACATTGAGGCACATCAGCTTCAGTAAACAATGATGTGGAGCGCATCCCTTCATAGACAGTATACCGTTTCCTTTCAGAAAATAAAAATACAGCCACTTTTTAACCCGTGGTTCCACATGAGCTATGGCAACCTTATTTAACAGGAGTGATCTAGGAACAGAGTCAAAGGCTGATGTTTAAAGGCACTACGAACATAATTAACACCTTTGTCTAGACTATAAGACAGTGACAGCATGTAAAATACTCCTCCGGTGTTGTAAGCAAATTGTTTTGGATCTCTGACAACCACCATTGAAGGCTCAATCACAAGGAGATGGAATTTCTCCATTGTCTTCAAGAAAAGGGAAAGTTATAGTGATGGTTAGAAAGGTAACATCTGATCTAGAAGATGACTCAGGCACAAGTACAATTTAGATCTCCTTTCAAGCAACATGTATTATTTTTTTACAGAACTATACACTGAAGATATCTGTAAGGGGATAAGATAAAATATCTGCACATTTTTTAGATGTAATACTCGAAACACCATCAGGAACTAAGCTTCGGGATAGATTCAAGGATTTAAGACATTTAAATGCATCATTTGTATTAAAACGAGGAAAGTAGCTGTCCAGTTGACTTCTGACATTAGGAAGGGTGAAATCAGCTTGCTGACAAATGAATGACTTGTTTAGAAGAGTTCTTACACGATAGGAACTTCTGGTTGTAAATAGTATTCAGATGTTATATTTCAGACTTAATTAGGCATTTAAGTTCTTTAACACCAGGTGGTCTCTCGTCTAATATAGCCTTTCCTTTTCTCTCCGGAGCCTCTTTAGATGAGGGGAGGAAAGTCTGTCGAATCTCATGTAGATTGTTTTAACAGAGCAGCAGATATCGAGACAGACATAGCTGACTGACATAGCTTGTGATATTGGTGATAGTGTTGTTTGAAACTTTATCAGCAAATATATCCCAGTCTGTTTCTATAAGCACGTTTCTCAAACGTCATGTACACTCTTGTGAATAGCATCTGTATCTAACTTTCTTGGAAAGGTATCCAAAAGCCTTCTTGTCTTATTCACCGTACACTTTAGGCAAAACACGTACAATACAGTGGTCAGAATTTAGCAGTGGAGCCCGTTTACGCTCTTCATATATGCCAGATTCATCTGTAAGTACTAAGTCTAGGGTGTTGTTAAGACGGGTAGGAAGGTTAACCATATTTTCATGACCCAATGATACTAGAAAACTGCATTCACATGAGTTAAAATTTCCACAGACTATAGACAATGGAGTTACTCAGAATCGGAGTGGTGAATTCATTAGCAAAAATTGATAAATCTGAGAAACTGCAGTTAGGTGTGACATAAATGTTTGCTATATATATTTGCTCAAATGTTCGGGACGACATTTAATGGTAATACACTCAAGAAGCAGAAGCATACATAGTTGGAGGAGGATCAGTTTGCACTGATAAATGTTGCTGTATCGTATCATCCATCCTCAAATATATTTCACAAGTCCTTTGGCAAGAATGATATATCAACTGCATGGGAGGTAAATAAAGTAGTTCTGGTACCTCAGTCCATATCTTCTAGACCAAGTGTGAAATTTCAACCAATCATAACAACCTCATCATTCATAGAAGTAATGCTTAGACCTGCATTGGAGGTTTTCGGTGATCCATATCAGTCAGTCTACCTACAACCTAAGAGGGGGTACTTTAGATGTTGCAGATATTCGGGATCATAATATTACTGTCAGTTTAGACAAAGGTGTCTTTTTAGATGATACTTTTATTCTGTTCCCAGACCCATTTCATTGAAAAAGCTTGACATATTGAGCTGGATTGTTTAGTCGTGAAGCTTTCATCGTCTTTCTCCTGGACAACATCATCAGCACTAACTTCAGTATGAAGTGAGCTGTCAATATCTCTCTGTGAGTGATTTAGTAGCTTGCTCTGACGATGTGGTCTGTGATTGGTTGTTTCCTTCGATTGTTGTGTCATTGACTATATAGACTTTCCTGTTGGCTGTTCCTCTGCTTGACGTCTGACCTTTCTGTCATTTATTACTTTTCTTATTGGTAGATAGATCGGGTCTATGTCTATACATCTATTGACTGACTGACTGACTGACCTGAATGCCAGGCTTCTAGGAATTCTGTGACATTCTTTGTGTTTCCTCTCTCTATTCAACATTTCTACGTTGTCGAAATTGGGTTCATGTCCATAATTGTCCGCGTGCATTGAAATGAGTGACGAAATGTCATGACGTTTAATAGCCAATTGGTGCTCATGTAGATGAAGGTGAAGAGGGCGACCACTTTTTCCGATGTGGTGTGTTGACTACAGTTATTGCAGTTGATTTTGTAAATGATGTTCGGTTTGTCAGAGGTCAGACGTCAAGCAGAGGAACAGCCAACAGGAAAGTCTATATAGTCAATGACACAACAATCGAAGGAAACAACCAATCACAGACCACATCGTCAGAGCAAGCTACTAAATCACTCACGGAGAGATATTGACAGCTCACTTCATACCGAAGTTAGTGCTGATGATGTTTTCTAGGAGAAAGACGATGAAAGCTTCACGACTAAACAACCCAGCTTAGAGAACAGAATACAACCAAGACCATCCACCTGATCTACAAATATTCTCCATTATTTCAATATTGAATCCTGTTTTACAAACTGGTTTTAATCAGTCAGTAACACTTATCTAAGAATAACATCCACCACTTTCCCGGTTGATATAACATAGGTTTTCTATGCAAAATTATCAGTCAGATAGATATGCTTTACATAAAGAAAAATGTCTCACTGATGACAAATTCTTATTTCTCTAACTAATAGTAATTTTGATGGATCACGTGATTTCTCCCATCTCACCTCTCCTCTAGATGACCTTGCACGTGATTAGTCATGTGTGTATTTGTGACGTATCGCATGGAGAACTGACCCACGTGATTGGTCAGTGCGAAACATTTAGAAATTGATGACCTTGGTATTTTCGCTGAGTCATTTAATTGTAAATAGCTGAATCATCTGTCCACATCGCACTATAATTCATGCAATGGCTAATTTGCAAGCATAGGAAATGGGATTATGCATAATAAGATGATTTCATTCAACATGCAGTCATTTCAGAACTATGAGTCCTATGAAAGTAATTGAAGAGTCAATGGAGAGCTCTTGAGTTGAGCTACACAATATAGCCGAAGTAGAATATCTTTTATAAGGAGTAAAACAATACAACGTGATATCCTTATCTGGGATTAATGTTTCTCCTTCTTCGACTGATATTACACAAACAGATTACTCGAAACTTGTCTGAATTACCGAATCTCTAGACCGGGATAATGTCTTACTTCTTCCTTATTACACAGGCCAATATACACTATGATGAATGAAGATAAATCCAACATAATTATTAAAATATAAACCGAAATTACTGTAAGAAAACAACACTACAACCCATGGAATGAACACCCTTCTCGCCATGAGAACTATTCAGCGATAAAACTGCATTTGAACGGTTATGCACGTGAATTCAACTGGGAAAATAGACAGACAAAATACAAGTAGTTTGACATTCATGTCAATCAGCTGTAGATTACTGGATCAAAGTCCGATCCACTTACCTAGGTTTTGACGACCAGTTAATAACATTACACTTTATTTCAATTTTACTCTAATATTCCGTTCACCTCCAAGTTCTTGACCGAACCTTGTCTTATATGGACGTCATCTTCCAAAAACCAGGTGAATCGGTCACCTTATCGGGCAAGAAACATCCAAGTAACGCTTCTTCATATAGACAAGTACTCTTTCCAGAGGATTGTGTTAACACAGCCTCATACTGACCGGTATTATCCCAGGACCTTCTTAACTGAAGTCTCCATAACCTTTTGGACTGAAGTGCGAATCACCTTCCAGTGGGGTAGAGGAGCCGCCGCAAGGCAAAATATATCATATGGCTTAGGTTAACAACGAAAGTATTCCGTATCGAATATCGCTCACCTTTGCAAAGTAAGAGTCTAATGTTCGTTAAAGGACTGCTTCAAATACACTGACATTTGGGCTTCTGTATGGATGCCTCAATATTGGCGGTGATTAAAGTTCCATGCTAATGATGGAGAGTAGCTAGAAGTGGAGTCCAAGATCAGTATCATTCACCGCAAGGCAGACACATTCAGCTAAGGAGTCTCAAATAGGACGAAGCTCGAGTGCAGGATTCCACTGCTAGTTAGTAATGATGAATAGTATCAAATGAAGACATCATCAAAAATAACAAGGAGTAAGATGAATATAATTGGTATATTACATCAACACACCACAGGAACAGTGATTTTACAAAATAAAACTGTAACTCTACTCTGCTTTCTAGAAATGGAAAAGTAGCTTCTGTGTGAAAGTGTAATACAGATATACATAAGGGTATGCTTGTGAACAGATCTGATATCTAGTACAAAATGGTCATTAATAAAGGGAATTTTTCATTTGTAGGTGAACATTGATTGAAACAAAAATCATCGTGATCTGTTTCATGGAGCATTTTCGAAAGAAGTGTGGGTTTCGAAAACATAAATATATATAGGTGGTGTAACTGACGCTTTCTGAAATTATCTGGTCCATTTATAAAATGAAGCTGCATATAATTTAGCTACTTACAAACGTAAGAGTAGATTGTGCAGCTTAAGAAAAAAAACAGTTTCAATGTTAGATACAACATGAATTCTTTGGTTTAAGAAACACCATTTATTCAATGAGACCACGTGTACTTATACGATTCATCAGGTTGCTTCAGTTCTGCTGGTGTTACTGATGATTGATGTTCGTGGTGTGCTTGTTGATTTGAACATGTTAAAAATCTATTGTATGATATATTTATCATCATGATTATCATGATTTTCAACGGTTTTCTGTTCCACTTGTTCCTTTCACCTTGACCTTCTCATTATCAAACTGAAGATGAACTTCAGTCTCAGCAAGCTTTGAAGGTGATGACACTGGTTCTGGTGAAGATGTATGTGATGTTGAAGATGATAAAGAAAGAGAAGAGGACGATGATGAAGTGGATGGTGGTGATGAAGACGAAGATGATGACAGTGAAGAGGCATGATGTTCGATATTTTTCTGCCTCCTCAAAGCATCATCATTTGACATCATCATTATTTCATACTTTGGTAATACTAAGAAGGCGTCCAGTAGTTTTGAACCAAAATCGATTAGGTCTGTTGGTTGAATTTGATGCTGAATCAATACTGATCCTTTCTGTATCACGTCTTGTTCCCGTTTCTCTTCACTACTATCTTGTTGCCATTGTCTATTTTCGAAGTGTTGAATTCTTTGCCATTTACGATAAATACCACAGTAAGATGCTTCAATTGTATATGAGCGTAATACATTGAATTCTCGCCAAATAGCTATACGTGCTGTGGTTTCTTTAGCCTTGCTAACTACATAACTGTAATTATGAAAGGTATAAAGGCAGTTAGAGATTAAGATGAAGAAAAACAACACAGTAAACTGAGAACAATTTTTATGCGATCACAAATTACTAGAATAAAGGCTGTTGACAACATACAAGAACTAGATCACAATACGTTTTGTGTGGATCAACTAATTTCAGGTTATTTTTCATTGTGAACAAATATCAATTGAAAATATATGGGAGCATTCAATAAACCTTTCATCTTAGAGTGGGACGCCTTATGAATACGCACCCACGACTGCAAAAGGTAAGCAACTCAAGACTGTCAGATCTCAAAGCAAGCATATTACCACTTGGTCAACGATTTACATCTCTCTACTTCTGCTACTTCATAATATTGCTCAAACGTTATTTAGTACTGTCGGCCACAGTATTTGTCCTCATATCCAACTTGGTTGATCCTAAAAAGATGGTCAAGATTTTTCATTATAACTTCAGAAAGTTCATGATACTAATTTTATTACTACTATTATTACTTGTCCCATGGGTTCCCAGTGGAACATAGGGCTTCATTAGCACATCGCCATTCCGCTCTTTTCTCTCCACCACTGCCCACAAGCTTTCGTTTCTTCCTCACATGATCTCCTCCATGTCAGTCTCACCTTGGACGCCCAACTCGTCATTTCCAATTTCCGTTCCACTCAACGGCCTGGCCTAGCCTGACGCGTGATGTCCCCATTCGGACATCATTGATTGGTTCGTTATCAGGCCACACTTCTTGCTTATTCTCTCTCGCCTTCTCTTCTCATCTCACCTCATCTTCACTATCGAGTGAGCGTAGGCGTAGGCGTAAGTGTAGGCGGCAGCTGTTCATGTATGTCTGTAGTCTGTTGGAAATGCTTTTCGTAACGCGCCAACTCTCTCAACCATCATATAGAAGCGCTGACTTACTTGACTGAATAAGTGTCGCAAGTCCGGATGTTGTTCGCGCTTTATGCTGAGTGAAGTGGAGTGCAGTGCAGTGCAGTAGATCTCCATACTGATTTCAGATAAGCGCATGAAGGCTTGTTTTGCTGTTTTTCCGATACTGGCTGGCTTTGACATCCTCATCTGTGCCTGTGTCGCTGCCTGTAGTTGAGATGATGCTGCCTACGTAGGTGGGTAGGTAGGTGAAAGAAACAACTTCCTTTAGATTTCTCCCGTTTATTGTGATTGATGCTTGTCGTTGTTGGTTGAATATTTTCATCACTTCTGTATTCTTCTCTACGTTCACCTGAAGGAAGTCTCGTCTTGGCTGTCTCGCTTCTTCCGCCAACTTGTTGATTTTCGCTTATAGATCTTCGAGTTCGTGCAACAGGACATTGGACATAAATCATGATAGGTGAAATCGAAATCTTCTTCTGGGGTCTTTTCATCGGTCAAACAGCGTATACCCATCTTCTTGCATTGCAAATAGGTAATGAATATAAAGTAACGCTCCATAACAGATAGTGGTCAGTAAGCATATGATATGCTCTACTCACCTATTTCACTCTAGGTTCACAAATTCATTGAATAATTTACCTTCATTTACCTCGAATTCTATATTTAACTCGAACTGGAGGTATATTGGCGAGAAGTTGTGTGCTGAGATGTATGACCTACAGCGTCCTATATAGATTGACTACTTACCTCCATATTACTCGTGATTGCCTATTGGTTATTTGTAGGTCAGATGACTGGGACCATGAAATCATGAACATAAAATAATTAGGTAAAAAAAAAGGCAAAGATTACTTCAACTAGTCACATTTCTAAAGGATATCACTTGTAAAGTAATGAAATCACAGCTACATATCAAGGCTTCAAGTTTGATTCCTGAACAAGATTATATTTGTATATGACAGCGAATTCAACAAACATGTGAGGCAGTCAGTTCCTAAATGCTGCATAAACTCATATCAATGTATATGATAAAAAAAGGTTATGACTAGTATGTCATATTAGGTTGTTTATTTGATATAGCACATAGTGACACAGCATAGTTTACTGGATGACATTCCGAGCACGATTTATTCCTCATATTCATATCAAAGTAATCATACGATTTATGTAGTCGTTTGTATAGTCCAACAGCTATTTAATCGTTTATTTTAGTGGTAGTAAAAACTTCCACATATCTTCCATATGTGATGAGTCAGTCCACTTACATATGTATTAGGTACTGATTCTCTGACTCTATGATCAATCCCTCTCCCCATTCAGTTAACTATGCTGGATTTCAGAATTGTCAACCTATCCCTTCCCAAACAAATTACCATCACCAACATTCAGGCAATATTGAGGCATCCGCATAGGACCCCGTATGACAATAGAGGTCGAACAATTCGATTTAATAAAACAACAGAGAATTACAAGTATATCATTGAATATTGATAACTACCACTCTGTTGTACAAGAAGTGACTATAGTTTCTCCTCGGCACAATCGACATCACCTTGGCGTTTCAAGCGGTGGGTACGAGGTTCGAGTCTCAGTGGAGACAACATCACTCACTGGGGTACAGGTGTGTCCAGCTGGTGAATCCCAAATAGGACAGAACAAACGTCCTGGATTCTTCTGCTAACCACGACCAACCAAGTTATCCCTTCTAGCTTACAGAATATGATTATGGGTCAGTGGTTGCTCAGCGATAGACGAATTTCCCCACCAAATTACTCATACCTTAGTGTAGGGTCAATCATTGTATATTTCGATAGATTTTTGTGTTCTTCCATTCTGTCTGACCCAGATCGGTTGCTACTTTCACCTACATACTCGACCTCATAATCATTATATGGTATCTGATAGATTAGGTCATTTTTCTTAATTGGCTCAACAAATTTTCTCTGTGAGTGAGTTTATGGGTTAAAATGTCACCCTAATCTTAGCCAGCATTGTTAAGAATTCTATGTAGCATTCCTGATGTACCTTGTTGATACGGCATGAACTAAAGAGGATTTGAGTTCTCTCTTAGACATACTGTAATTACCACTAACATTTTTACTCTTTCTCTTATCAATCCTTATAGACGTTTTAATAGATTCCGAAGAATGATTATTAGGAATTAGTTTCTCTGTGATGTTGAATTGGAAAGTCAAGTAGACAGAAGATGGGTACTTAGAAACCAGTGTTTACAGGAAATCAACACATTCAACTAATAGGTACTTGGATTTCACATCATCTCACTTTATATCTATCAAAGTAGGCTTGATAAAGTGTTTAAGTAATCAAGCAAAGAGTTTGACTACTAAGTTAGGAAGGCGAAATACTGAAATGTAATACACCAAACAGACACTAATTCTCAATAACTTATTCATAAAAAAGTTTGCAGAGAATGATAAGAGAAAGAGTGGTAATGTTATTGGTGATTGCAACATGTTTAACAGGGAATTCAAATTCTCTCTAGTGTCGCCGTATCAACAAGGTACACCGGGAATTCTACGTAGAATTATTAACAATGCTAGCTAGGATTAGATTGCCATATAAACCCATAAACTTGCACAGAGAGAAACTTTGAAGGTTAAAAGAGCAATGGAATCAATTAGGAAAAATGGCCTAATCTATCCTGGAGTGACTAAAGGATGCGCTCGATTCGAAACTACGACCGGAACAGGCTGGCTGGCTGGATTCAGGAAGTACAAATCATATCCGGATCAAATTCCAACGCTGCGCTGCACATCATCATAGAACAGAGTGTAGAATGGCAGTCAACTCTCTACCTCAACTTCACCAACTTTGAAGAAGCCTTCGACAGCGTCGATCCACAAGTAATCTGGCAACTGCTCCAACAACAAACCTGTATTAACCTCATTCAACAACTATATGAAAACGCCACATGACAAGTAATTCACAATGAGAAGCTCAGCTCAGTGGTGCCTTTGAAGTGAAGATGATACAGGAGTAAAACAAGGCTACCGTCTACTATCATCCATGATATTCCTGATTGTGGTCGACTGGATCATGCAACAAACTTTGAGGAGCGAGAAGACGGGCATACACTGGACCGCAGAAAAGAATTTAGAAGATTTGATTTAGACTTGGATTTCGTCGATGACTTGTGTTTAATGTCACACAAACTTGAAGATCTTCAGGGGAAAACTAACAAGTTGACAGAAGATGTAAGGCAGGGCAGGGCAAGGCAAGGCATTGAAGACGACACTTCCTTCACGTGATCACAGAGAAGACAGAGGTGATGAAGATACCCAACGCCACCGAAGCCACCAACACCACCACCACCAACAAGCTCCAATCACCATCAACGGGAGAAACTTAAAGGAAGTAGTCTCTTTCACCTACCTGCCTAGGCAGCACTGTTTCAACTACAGGTGGCACACGCACAGAAGACGACGTCAAAGCCAACCAGCATCGGAACAACATGCAAGACAGACCTTCATTAGCCTGAAACCAGTGTGGACATCTTCTGCACTCCACTCAGCATAAAGTGTGAACAATATCCACATTTTAAACACCAACGTCAGTCAAGTCAGTGCTCCTGTGTGATGGTTCAGAGACTTGGCACGTTACGAAAGCCATTTCCAACAAACTACAAACATTCATCAACAACTGCCGTCTACTCTGGCTCGTTACTGAAGCTCAGATGAGAAGGCGAGAAAGAATAAGTAAGAAGGAACTGTGGCTGGCTGGCTGGCTGGCAACGAACCAACGAAGCAAGAACCTATCTCTCAACAAATATGCAGTGGAAGGAAGTGGAGATGGATTAGATTGGATTGGATTGGGCATACACTGAGAAGGCCAACTGGGGACACCACGCGCCAGGTCAGTTGGTCGAGTGGAACCCAGATGGGAAATGACGAGTTGGGCGTTCGAGGTGAGGGTGACATGGAGGAGATGGTATGAGGAATAAATGAGAGCTTGTGGGCAGTTGTGGAGTCAGGTTGAAAGATTGCAGAGAAGAGAGTGGAATGGCGACGTGCTACTGAATCCCTATGTTTCATTAGGAACCTAAGGGACAAATAATAATAATAATAATCAGATACCATGCAATGATTGTGAGGTCAAGTATGTAGGTGAAAGTAGCAACCGATCTGGGTCAGACAGAATGGAAGAACACAAAAATCTATCGAAATATACAATGATTGACCCTACACTAAGGTATGAGTAATTTGGTGAGGAAATTCGTCTATCGCTGAGCATCCACTGACCCATAATCATATTGTGTAAGCTTGGAGGGATAGGGTGACAATTCTAAATCCAATATAGCTAGCTAAGAGAAGGGAGGGATTGATCACAGAATCGCTTTTGTTCATTGAATCAGTACGCAACACACATGTCAGAGGAATGACGTATCAGATATTGGAGATATATGGTAAATTTTACTACCATTGAAATAAACGAATAAAAAGTTGTTGGGCCATATAAAGATGAAGCTTAGAAGTTGTGTGATATGAGTATAAGCAATAAATCATCAAGTAAATTCTACTGTATCATTGTGTGCCACATTCAATAAACAATCCGGTGTGGAAGAACTGTATTCTACCACAGTGACCAGGTTTTTCTCTTACGTTTATGATTATTATTATTCAAACCAACAATCCATCTTGTTATACTTTGCAGTAACACAGAGATCGTGTGATAATTAGGTAAAACAAAGAGAATGAGACATATAAGTGTGAACAATATTATTTTCTGAGGGAGTTGTAGAGATTTGGAATTATTTCAAGTTGTTATTCATCGTAGACTGACATCAGTTGGTTTCCTTTGACTTTCCTTTGTTCCTCCAACTGATGTCAGTCTACGATGAATAACAACTTGAAATATTATTTTCAATAGTATCCTCTTCAATCTTTACCCTAATATAAATAGTCTAATGTATATAAAAGTTAAACCAGTCATGTAGATTTATCGGTTAATCTGATAAATGCTTTAAGATAACGATGGTGATAATCATACAAATAATAAAAGTTATAACGTTGACTAAAGCACATGTAATATAGATGATAATGATGATAAGAACCAAGACAGTTGCATGAAAATGTAGACACTCCGATTATCAAAATCGGTCTAGGCTTTTTTTATCCACTTACCTCGCCCTTCACTATTACGTAACTTTTATTTTCACAAGCTTTTATACATATATATGTCAAGCTGTTTGTATTAGAGTAAAGCCTGAAGAGGATCTAATTGAAAACAATATTGTTCGCTTATATATCTTGTTCTAATTTACAAAGAGAATACTCAGTCGAATTGAAGACAAGAATTAATTTCATTCGAATAAATTACATCAATTAGTCGACTGTGAGTAGATGATGTAACTGTTTAGTTCTAAAGACTCACCACTAACACAAGTCTATCGAACAAGTTTACAATATGCCCACTAAACAACTCTATGGTGCATTATAATTGGTGTTAGACGATGCCAACGTGATGCGTAGACTTCGGTAAGTGCTGAGGAAACGGCTAAATTAGTTACTCGTTGGCGACCGATTTGCGTGTATATCCTAGCCGTACAGAGGGCTAGCCATTGCTAATAGACAGACAGACAGACAGACAGACAGACAGACAGACAGACAGACAGACAGACAGACAGACAGACAGACAGACAGACAGACAGACAGACAGACAGACAGACAGACAGACAGACAGACAGACAGACAGACAGACAGACAGACAGACAGACAGACAGACAGACAGACAGACAGACAGACAGACAGACAGACAGACAGACAAAGGAAGTCGATATAGAACCTAGCACACAAGTCGATCAACACAAATTGCCACGTTTCACAGTAGCATGCAAAGGATAGGCAGATACAAAAAGACATATCAATGTACATAAAGATGTATGAAAGAAAAAATATTGAAGATGAAGTGTAGTTAGAATATTGAAGCTTTATATGACATCAAAAAGTGAATACGTCTACTTCTATACAACTGTGACTGGTTTTCATCCATGTCATTAAGAGTCTTCAACCGTTGATTCTTATCATCTCGAGGACACCAAAGCCAGGCTTACACAAACAGTCAAAGACTTCATGCACTGCTATCACATTTCGATCTGGTAACCCTTGGATCGCTTATAACCTAATTCGACTTCTTCTAGCATTGCACGTCACCATCGAATGACTTCGGTTCTGATCGCTGAAAGAATATCAACCAGTTTTCTTATACTTCCACATGTACCTCTCTGACAACTGCTCACTAACACGAAGTGTAGTTCCAAGACTTTGTGCAATTTCACTCCTAACGTAAAAAAGGGAAAGAACAACCATGAAAAAAAACAAACCAACTTACAGACATGATTCTTTTGAAAATGATGGTGATATCTTGTCTAATATATCAGCTAGTGCACGATATGATACATCTTCAGATTGATTTGGACCCCGATAAGCAGGATTGTGTATATCTGGATGACGCCATGATTCACTTGAACTGCATCCATATAAGAAAATATTTTTCATACGTGAATGACCATGTAAATCAATGAATATCTGTTCATCAGATGGAAAAATATTACACATATGAATTGGCAAACAAACACAAAAGACGAAGATAAAACAAGCTATATTGTATAAAGTTATTAAAAGCCCGGAAAGCACCACGATCAGATGGAATTCTTCCACAAGCACTGAAAACAAAGGCAGAGACAACAGCGGATATGCTCACATCACTATTGCAGAAGGTTTGCAAGGAATGAAAGAAGGAGCGAAAAGTACCTGTCGACTGCTTGGAAGAAGGGATAGTTTGTCAAACTCCAAAAAAAGGTGAGCTAAGTCTTCCCAAAAACTCGAGCGGAATCATGCATCTGACCACCCTAAGCAAACTATTAAACAGCACCATCCTCGAGAGGCTTAAAATGCACTGGATTCAAACTTACGACCGGAACAGGCTGGCTTTAAGAAGAACAAATCATTTGCGGATCAAATTGCAACGCTACGCTACACATCATCATCATGGAATAGAGCGCAGAATGATAGTCTACTGTACCTGTATCTCAACTTCATCCATTTTGAAAAGGACTTCGATCGAGGCGTCAAACGAGAAGTAATTTGACAGCTACTTCAACACTACGGTGTTACTGCCACAAATCTTTATCAACCTCATCAAACAGCAGCTATATGATGATGATGGTGCTACATGACAAGTGATTGACAGTGGAAAGATCAGTGATGTCTTTGAAGTGAAGACTGGTTGACAGGTAAAACAAGGTTGCCAACTACTATCACCAATGATCCTCCTCATTGTGGTCGACTCGACTCGACTCAACTGGACCATGCAAGAAACTGTGAGGAGCGATAGGGTGGGCATACACTGTTTGACCGATGAGAAGACCCCACAAGAAAATTTAGATTTCACCTATCATGATTTATGCCTAATGTCTATGTCGAACAAACTCGAAGATCTACAAGCGAAAACCAACAAGTTAGCAGAAGAGGCAGAGCAGCGAAGACGGCACTTCCTTCAGGTGAACGTAGAGGAGAAGACAGAGGTGATGAAGATACCCAACCAACAACAACAACAACAAGCACAAATCACAATGAACAGGGAAATCTAAAGGAACTTGTCTGTTTCACCTACCTACCCACCTACGTAGGCAGCATCGTCTCAACTACAGGCAGCGACACAGGCACAGATGAAGATGTCAAAGCCAACCAGGATCGGAATGACAGCAAGACAGTCCATCCTTCATCAATCTGAAACCAGTGTGGAGATCTACTGCAATGCACTCCACTGCGCTCCACTGCACTGCACTGCACTGCACTGCACTGTACTCAGCATAAAGCGTGAACAACATCCACAGTTACAACACAGTAGAGTAAGTCAGTGCTTCTATGTGATGGTTGAGAGAGCTGGCGCGTTACGAAAAGCATTTCCAACAAATTTCAGATATACATGAACAGCTGCTGCCCACGCCTACACCTACACCTACGCTCACCCGATAGTGAAGATGAGGTGAGATGAGAAGAGAAGGCGAGAGAGAATGAGCAAGGGGGAAGTGTGGCCTGTCAACGAACCAACCAAAGAAGCAAGAAGCTGTCGCCCAACGACTATGCAGTAGAATGAAGTGGAGATGGATTGGATTGGACATATACTGAGAAGTCGGAATGGGGACATCACACATCAGGCCATGCCCTCTAGTGGAACCGAAATGGGAAACGACGAGTTGGGTGTCCGAGGTGAGGGTGACATGGTGTAGATGGTGTGAGGAAAAAAATGAAAGGTTATTGACAGTCGTGAAGCCAGGTTCAAAAAAACTGGAGAGAAGAGAGTGGAATGGCGCTGTGCTACCGAAGCGTTATGTTCCACTAGGAACATAAATGACAAATGATAATAAATAGTGTATAAAAAAACCTATAAATAGAATTATTTTTCTTGTAACTTTAAAGTCCACCTTAGTATCTGATCAGACAGCTAATTACATTCCTTCATTTTATGGAAATGTATTTTTCTAGGCGAAATACTAAAGCCTGATTTGTCATTTCTCTTGTTGGTAGGATGGCCTTTAAAATCACGCGGAATAGGTAGTTTGACCACCAACTGATCTGCTTACCTACGTACTACATCGATAACTTTTCTTTATCAAGTGTAATTTTATACGACAGTAGGAAACATAATCATTCAGTTAAATCGTTTACCAATTGTTAGCCCCCTACTTAGATTCACTGCATTTCGGTTGTGGAAAGATGATGCCACACACCTCATGAAAGCAACTTTGGCTGAATGAACAAGACAAACCACAACCAATGAGTTGCTGTAGGGCTCAGCAACCGAAATAGAATAAGAATATCATAGATTGTAGTCTATATATCCTGTTGTAGGATATCATGAAAAAGCATAGGCAGGAAAACATAAGTCTACAATGAGAATAGAAAACTATGAGACCAGACACTTTGCATTGAACAGAAGAAAAGGGGATATTTGATGAGATAAGCTTAGTTACAATACGGCAGGTAATGAATTATGAACATAAATGCTAGTTCAACAAAGAAATTGAATGACAGTTGTGCAATAATTACGAATAAACTGAAATTCCCCCCAAAAAAACTAATGAAAGAACTTCACTTATAATTATTGTAAAAGGTGCAGATGTTGGGTAGATTACCTTGTGGAGTTATTAGGAAAATTCATTACAGTAGGGAATCAACATGAGTTTCCATAGTTTCTAAAGTATTATCGTTTCATCATACGAACTATGTTACTTTCTTTATTGATATTATTACTTATTATTTGTCCCTTAGGTTCCTAATGAAACATAGGGATTCAGTAGCACGTCACCATTCCACTCTCTTCTCTGCAATCTTTTCAACCTGACTCCACAACTGCCCACAAGCTCTCATCTATTCCTCATACCATCTCCTCCATGTCACCCTCACCTCGGACGCCCAACTCATCATGTCCCCAGTTGGCCTTCTCAGTGTATGCTCAATCCAATCCATCTCCACTTCCTTCCACTGCATATTTGTTGACAGATAGGTTCTTGCTTCGTTGTTTCGTTGCCAGCCAGCCAGCCAGCCAGCCAGCCAGCCAGCCAGCCAGCCAGCCAGCCAGCCAGCCAGCCAGCCAGCCAGCCAGCCAGCCAGCCAGCCAGCCAGCCAGCCAGCCAGCCAGCCAGCCAGCCAGCCAGCCAGCCAGCCAGCCAGCCAGCCAGCCAGCCAGCCAGCCAGCCAGCCAGCCAGCCAGCCAGCCAGCCAGCCAGCCAGCCAGCCAGCCAGCCAGCCAGCCAGCCAGCCAGCCAGCCAGCCAGCCAGCCAGCCAGCCAGCCAGCCAGCCAGCCAGCCAGCCAGCCAGCCAGCCAGCCAGCCAGCCAGCCAGCCAGCCAGCCAGCCAGCCAGCCAGCCAGCCAGCCAGCCAGCCAGCCAGCCAGCCAGCCAGCCAGCCAGCCAGCCAGCCAGCCAGCCAGCCAGCCAGCCAGCCAGCCAGCCAGCCAGCCAGCCAGCCAGCCAGCCAGCCAGCCAGCCAGCCAGCCAGCTAGTCAGCCAGCCAGCCAGCCAGCCACAGTTCCTTCTTACTTATTCTTTCTCGCCTTCTCATCTGAGCTTCAGTAAAGAGCCAGAGTAGATGGCAGTTGTTGATGAATATCTGTAGTTTGTTGGAAATGGCTTTCGTGACACGCCAAGTCTCTGAACCATCACACAGGAGCACTGACTTGACTGACGTTGGTGTTTAAAATGCGGATATTGTTCACACTTTATGCTGAGTGGAGTGCAGAAGATCTCCACACTGGTTTCAGGCTAATGAAGGTCTGTCTTGCATGTTGTTCCGATGCTGGTTGGCTTTGACGTCGTCTTCTGTGCGTGTGCCACCTGTAGTTGAAACAGTGCTGCCTAGGCAGGTAGGTGAAAGAGACTACTTCCTTTAAGTTTCTCCCGTTGATGGTGATTGGAGCTTGTTGGTGGTGGTGGTGTTGGTGGCTTCGGTGGCGTTGGGTATCTTCATCACCTCTGTCTTCTCTGCGATCACGTGAAGGAAGTGCCGTCTTCAATGCCTTGCCCTGCCCTGACCTGACCTGCCCTACCTCTTCTGTCAACTTGTTAGTTTTCGCCTGAAGATCTTCAAGTTTGTGTGACATTAAACACAAGTCATCGACGAAATCCAAGTCTAAATCAAATCTTCTAAATTCTTTTCTGCGGTCCAGTGTATGCCCGTCTTCTCGCTCCTCAAAGTTTGTTGCATGATCCAGTCGACCACAATCAGGAATATCATGGATGATAGTAGACGGTAGCCTTGTTTTACTCCTGTATCATCTTCACTTCAAAGGCACCACTGAGCTGAGCTTCTCATTGTGAATTACTTGTCATGTGGCGTTTTCATATAGTTGTTGAATGAGGTTAATACAGGTTTGTTGTTGGAGCAGTTGTCAGATTACTTGTGGATGGACGCTGTCGAAGGCTTCTTCAAAGTTGGTGAAGTTGAGGTAGAGAGTTGACTGCCATTCTACACTCTGTTCTATGATGATGTGCAGCGCAGCGTTGGAATTTGATCCGGATATGATTTGTACTTCCTGAATCCAGCCAGCCAGCCTGTTCTGGTCGTAGTTTTGAATCCAGTTCATCCTTTAGTCACTCCAGGGTGATGTGGCTTAATATTTTGCTTGGGGTGGACAGGAATTTGATTCCGCGCCAGTTATTGCAAAGACTTGGGACACCGTTCTTCGAGAATCTGACAAGATAGCCGTTCTTCCAATCACCAGGCTCCTTTGCTTCCTCTCAGACATTCTGCAATAGTGGTGTGAGCATGTCTACTGTAGTCTCTGCGTCTGCTCTCAGTGCTTCTGGCGGGATTCCATTTGGTCCTGCTGCCTTCCCGCATTTCAGTAGCTTTACGGCACGACTGTCAATAACCTTTCATTTTTTCCTCACACCATCTACACCATGTCACCCTCACCTCGGACACCCAACTCGTCGTTTCCCATTTCGGTTCCACTAGAGGGCATGGCCTGATGTGTGATGTCCCCATTCCGACTTCTCAGTATATGTCCAATCCAATCCATCTCCACTTCATTCTACTGCATAGTCGTTGGGCGACAGCTTCTTGCTTCTTTGGTTGGTTCGTTGACAGGCCACACTTCCCCCTTGCTCATTCTCTCTCGCCTTCTCTTCTCATCTCACCTCATCTTCACTATCGAGTGAGCGTGGGCGTAGGTGTAGGTGTAGGCGTGGGCAGCAGCTGTTCATGTATGTCTGAAATTTGTTGGAAATGCTTTTCGTAACGCGCCAGCTCTCTCAACCATCACATAGAAGCACTGACTTACTCTACTGTGTTGTAACTGTGGATGTTGTTCACGCTTTATGCTGAGTACAGTGCAGTGCAGTGCAGTGGAGTGCATTGCAGTGCAGTAGATCTCCACACTGATATCAGATTGATGAAGGATGGTCTGTCTTGCTGTCATTCCGATCCTGGTTGGCTTTGACATCTTCATCTGTGCCTGTGTCGCTGCCTGTAGTTGAGACGATGCTGCCTACGTAGGTGGGTAGGTAGGTGAAACAGACAAGTTCCTTTAGATTTCTCCCGTTCATTGTGATTTGTGCTTGTTGTTGTTGTTGTTGTTGGTTGGGTATCTTCATCACCTCTGTCTTCTCCTCTACGTTCACCTGAAGGAAGTGCCGTCTTCGCTGCTCTGCCTCTTCTGCTAACTTGTTGGTTTTCGCTTGTAGATCTTCGAGTTTGTTCGACATAGACATTAGGCATAAATCATGATAGGTGAAATCTAAATTTTCTTGTGGGGTCTTCTCATCGGTCAAACAGTGTATGCCCATCCTATCGCTCCTCGCAGTTTGTTGCATGATCCAGTTGAGTCGAGTCGAGTCGACCACAATGAGGAGGATCATTGGTGATAGTAGTCGGCAACCTTGTTTTACCTGTCAACCAGTCTTCACTTCAAAGACATCACTGATCTTTCCACTGTCAATCACTTGTCATGTAGGATCATCATCATCATATAGCTGCTGTTTGATGAGGTTGATAAAGATTTGTGGCAGTAACACCGTAGTGTTGAAGTAGCTGTCAAATTACTTCTCGTTTGACGCCTCGATCGAAGGCCTTCTCAAGGTGAATGAAGTTGCGATTGAGTTGAGTTGACTGGCTTTTTAGGATACTACATTATAACAAAAAATTTAATTACCTCGCATTATGAGAAGTATGCACTTTGATAATATTTATTGGTTGGAATGTACTACAAACATTTCAAAGTTACTACTCAGGGGATCCCTCAAATTCGGCACAATTTTCCTATTCTATCTCAAAAAGAAGTATCCAAATCTTAGAAATAGGCTTATTAATGAATAATCCGATGAAAAGTAGGTAAATATACAGTTTGAACTGAGATTGTTGATGATGAAATTTTCAATAGCACTAGAGAAGAGATGATAACTGACTAACATGTGAATTAAACGTCAGCAACCAATTAACCTTACTTTATTTCATCTGAAAGTAATCATTTTTCGTGAACTGAGTACAACCAAATTGTTTTTTTCAGTAAAAGAGAAGATAAACAAAGGCAGTAAAATCACTGATGGATCGTGGCTAGAATTGGAATGCAGGATGTGCATTTCATCCTATTTGGGACTCGTCAGCCGGGTATACCTGCTTTTCAGTGAGTGATGTTTTTCTCACCGGGATTCGGACTCGGGAGTGATCACTTCAAACGCCAGGGCGTTATCCATTACAGCACCAAGCCACGATAGGTACTTCTTTTGCGACGGTTATAGTTTTAGTATAATTGTTTTATATCATACCGTCATTGATTGGACCGAATTGATCGGTCTCTACTGGCATATGGGCTCTTGTGCGGATGCCTGGATATTGCCTGTATTTTAATTATATTCATGGTGGATAACGCCCTGGCGTTTGAAGCGATCGCTCCTGGGTCTGAATCCCCGTGGGAACAGCATCACTCACTGGGAAGCAGGCACATCCAGCTGATCAGTAAGTCCCAAATAGGATGAAAAGTGCATCCCGGATTCCACTACTAGCCACTATGCATCATTACTACATATAATTAAAACACAGGCAATATCAAGGCATCCGCACAAGAGCCCATATGCCAATAGAGACCGATCAATTCGGTCCAATCAATGACGGTATAATATCGAAACAATTATACTAAAGGTAGTAAAATGTACACAATTAAATGAATCTTACATATGGTGCACGTTCACAAGCTGAAAGTAACTGTAATAACATTTTAGTATGATAAATAGTTGGATGAAGAGACGGTGATGGATTAATCCAATGACGATTTAAGTCTTTGCCAGACATTGAACAACGATGACTGAATAGAAAGGAAAATAGTAGAAATAAAATAGATGATTACAACTAGACGAATTGTATATAATAAAGAGAAGTATATTTCTTGTCTTTTACTGACATAAATCTAGAGGAAAAATTATGCGTTCTGATTGCACGATGATTATTTTATGCACCTACAGTTTAACAGAGGTGGTGAAAATCAGTTCACCTTATCATTAGTCATGTCTAAGTAACGCAGGCTACCATGTTGAGAGACTATAAAATAACCTTCAGTCAACCAATCAAGTTGGAGGTGACTGTGCGGTCGTTCTTGAAAGCTTTAAATTATTCAAACAACTTCGCTGATAGACACGGTTATACTCATTTTTGATGGTGATAATTTCAACTTGATCTAAGAGAAACATTTCTTATTTTATCATCTACTGTTTTCTAACTCCAAGAAAGTTTTCATCTGCCTACCAGACAAAAAATTATCACTAGATTATATTCCAGTATTAGAGTGCACATCTGAAAACGTAATTATAATCCTTATTTTAACTCCAAATCACTATACAGTATCAAATAAGTCATAAAGCCAGTGGTGGAAAGAGAACCTATTAGATGTTTGCTTGATGATTTAAAACTTAGCTTTCAATTCTTTATCTAATATCCATCCTCCTAAACCTGATGTCTTTTTTTAATCCTTAAAGTTTAATTCTCAAATCATTTTACAGCAGTTCATACAAATAATTTTGAGGCAGTAGAGCACCAGTAGTAGACTTATTTACATCCATATCACAGTTCAGGTAGTTGAATGTTATACAGTTACATGGATGAACATCTTCATCATACATACTTAGGCTTTAAACATTAATAACCAGTCGAAAGCTTAGATAAGTTCCTAGACATTGTGAAAAATAATTATATACGCAATCGTTTCCTTTTATAACATTGTTCAGAGTAAGAAAGCAGTAGCTTTTTCTTTATTGGTGTGGTCAAGGTCATTTGCAAGTTGCTCAAGGACGGTAATGACATAATCCATTTTGTTATCACTCATACTTCAAGTGTTATCAAAAGTACAATAATCGTTATCATGATTATTATTATTTATTTATCATATTTCAAGTTGTTATTCATCGTAGACTGACATCAGTTGGGAGAACAAAGGAAACCTGGGAGCACTGGACAGCTATTCCGCCCTAGTATGGGACTCCTCAGCAGTGTGCACCCACGACCCCGCCCTCCAGGGATCGAACCCACCACCTTCAGGTCCCGTGGCCAGCACGTTACCATTGAGCTAGCCACTGGGTCGGAATCCAATGGTTCATATTTCCAACTTCTGTCAGTTCACGACATAACGCAGCCGCCACCCAATGTCATCTTTGATTAACTGTCCTCACGACCATCAGGCTGTGCCCCCACCGGTCACGACTTCTCATTGGAATTTCGGGAATACCTCTCGAAGCTAGTCAACCAATGAGCACCAGTTCAATCGACTTTTGATGTCAGTCTACGGTGAATAGCAACTTGAAATGTTTCCAAATCCCTACAACTACCTTAAAATTCAATATTTATTATATATAGTCTAATGTTCAAGTTTCATTCTTCCAGACTACTAATCTATTCTTTCTCACCTTTGATGTCTGACAACCCCATTGTACTTTTCATAGACGAACTAAAAAATTTTCCCCACCCTATTTTTGTTCCACCTTGCTCGCACAACTGAAAAAAACCTCTCTGATCGAGTTGCTTATTCACTCACCTGTATTACATCAATCTTTGCTCCTTATCACTATGTAATTGGATAATTGTAAAGGTCACCACCTTCTGTACCAAAACTTGAATATTAACCTGAAAACTTAGTGCCAGATTCATACTCTCTTGAAAGGATCTTCCTAGCAAGATCAAAACGTTGAGGAATAATGCACAAAATATTTATTTTGTTATTTGTTCTAGTATACTACTGCGGGATTACACACAAATAAAAATACACCTTATATACAATGAAGCATACTACCTCGGTGCCCAAGTTTTTTTAAAAACCATCCAGTCCACTGTTGGTCAGGATACCTTCAAACTTATTTGATTTTTGCTTTAAAAATTCAATGAAATCTCTGAACAGTTGGTTTAATATGTACACTGATAAAATCTTTTGAACACACACATATAAATGTTATACTACTTGCCGTTTCATTTGATAGGAAGAATGAAAGGTGATGAAACAAAGCAAAAGTTTTTTTATCACTTTGATTATCTGGAACCATCTTAAGGCAGACTAGTATTTATACTGGGTGATGATTGAAAGTAAAATAAAAGTCTAAGCCGTGGCCGGACTAGAACCAGAGACCACTGGGTTACCAGCCCAACGCCCTACCAACTGAGTTATGATGCTACCTTTGAAGTGAATTAAAAATCTAGTCGGCAGTTGGATCTCATAGCTCAGTGGTCGCTGGTTCGAATCTGGCCGCGGTTTAGACTTTTATTTCACCTCCAGTCATCACCCAGTACTAATTTGATATTTCACATTCCTTTGTAACACACTTACAATTACTTCGAAAGTTTGCCAACTTCATAATAATTTCATTTGGTGCTTACAAGATTGGTTAAGAAGTATGTTAACTGGAACTAATGCATTGCTGCACCAATTGGTATTTTAGGTATTGTTCTGGCGCGAACTTGACAGACGCAGAGGCCAATCATTAATTATTCGAACTTGTTATGTACCCACGAATACGAGACCAAGGAAGAGCACGATAGCGTAGTCGGATGGAATAGTATATTTGGGTGGTTGTGTCAAGATACCGATGCGTCCCAACTAACTGGCTAGAGAGTCGAATACGAGCAGTGCAACGTAACACGACAGCGTGCCAAATAGCGAGGATGCTTGACCGGGTGCCTTCAGCTTAGCGAGTCCAGTTAAACTATCAAGGTCAGCATCAATGTTGAAGGTTGTTGAACCCTAGGCTATTGATTTTGGGGAAGTGTGTGACGCTACAGTAAGTTACTTCATTCCGTTTCGATAGTTAAAAGATGTTTTTTTTTGTAAGTAAACTAACGAACCAAATTTACGCTACGATTGAAGTACTTTGAAAATATACATGTTTTTGACCACCGGACAGCATTTTCGTCCTAGTATAGAAATCCTCAAAAGCAAAATCTTCATATGCCTCGATATGGATAACCTAAAGTTCTAATGAGAAACTATGACCTGTGTGGTCAACCAGTAGGCAGTGAAGGGGAGGCCAAATGAAAAACTTAGTGGATAGTCACACTATATCAAGAATTGGCGGAAGTAGGAAACTGCAGATCATTGACCTCCGACCCAGTGGCTGAATGTTTAACGCGTCCTCCATCAAACCTGAAGGACTTGAATTCGATCCCTGGCAGAGTCGTGGGTGCGAACTGTTGAGGAGTCTCATACAACGACGAGACAGTTGTCCGGTGTTGCCGGACTTTCAATGGTTCTTTACCTGATGTCAGTCGGTGGTGAATACAGACTTAAAGAGAAAATCCCCATTAACTACAAGTTTCATTGCAATTATAGTCGATAATTCATGAAGCCAATAGGTTCACTCAACTAATTAGCAATCACAATGTGTTAAGACACTATTATAATTTGCTTATTAGTGGTGGAAGATACTCATCAACTCCATTCACCTGCATCCTAGTGAGTCATGGCGTTCTCAATGAATCGATCGGTGCTGGATTTGAGCTTCAGTGGGGGACGACAACTGACCATGGTACAGATATATCTAACCGACGAGTCCCAAGCAGGATGAAACGCGTGTGCGGGATTCAGCTGTTAGCTGTCACCAAGCGAATTATGTCATAGTGAATCTTTAGCCAATGCTCAGACATATGTATATTAGTCTATATGCCAATAGGAAATTAAAAGCATAAATAAGCCATGAAATATGATTGGCTCATATTTAGCCAGTCAAGGTCATTCAGTTGAGGTCATTTGTTCTCTGCTCATATAGTTGGCTTTAGTATCTTTCATGTCTCAATTATCAAACTTAACTGGGCAAAGTTAAGGTGATGGAAGGGAACAACAACAAGAAAAAGTATATAACAAACATGTTGATGAGGATAGTTTCTTTTCCGAGTCTTACAATCAGCATACTACAGCAAATAATTAACATGTATCTGCTTCTTTTTGATATTCATAAACTACGGTTATGTAATATTTACGAGATTAAGAAGATGCGACAAACTATTCAGTGGATTGAAGACATTCAGTGACGATAACAGGGTAATCGTAGACTACTGAACACTCATTTTGTCCTGTCCTGGGACTGATATTGAAATGCAGACAAAGGTATGAAAGATAAGGAACATCACAGAGAACCTTACAGTCCTATCACAGGCATCTCAGAACTAAACTCAAGGATTGATTCAAGAGGTGAATATTCTACAAAAGTATTTAAATACTGAAATCCTATGGATTATCTTCAAATCTAACTATTGTGGTTCGAAAACTTCTACGTGCTATGGCCACTAAATATGCACGGGTATCAAGTGTCAGCCACTAATACTTAACAAATTCCTAGTTGATTTCCGATCCGACTAATTAATGGAGAAGAATCGACGGATGTTGAGAGACGGGTATTGAGGTCGAAAAGACCGATAACCTAGAAACAAAGAAAAACACAGCTAATATATAGACAATTCACTGTTTAAAATAATAATATTGATTGGCTGATCCACTGTTTGTCTGTCTAATTGTAGATGTGATAACATAAGGTATATTTTGATTGGCCGCTTTCTAGACTAGTCATTTTTCTCTATCCTTATATTACCTCCCTCTTCAAAAGAATGTTATTTAGAGTCAGACTGGGCCACACTGTCTTTTTCTTGCATCTATCTGATCGATGCAAAGGGAGTTTCTCCCGGTTTACTGGGAGATTAGTAGTCTTCTCCATATTCTTTCGGCGGGTAAGTGCATGAGCACGAAAACCAGCTATCAAGCCAAGAGATTTACCTACTGATCAAGAACGAGATCTGCGGCGATATCTGGAGGATGACCTTTGCACATGTCGTTGTGTGTGTGCTGGTGGTGAAAACTGTCCTCATGGCCCCCAGAATTACAGTCCCTGTATAGATGTTGTTTAGGTGGACAAGATTAGACGAGATGCCAGCAAGGCGGTTGGAGGGGGGGGGTCTTCTTCGAGGGTAGGTGGTATCGCATGAGTTACTGGGCCGATGAACCGGCGAGATAAGGCCAGTGTGTGTGTGTGTGTGTGTGTGTGGCCGGAGGGTGATGCGGAGGAATGAGATGTCTGGCGAACTGTATGTACTTCACAACCACCCTGGTGTCTGGACTGGGAAAAACTTGTATCAAGCTGCAGGTTGCCCAGTCGTCGATATTCTGCAGACATGTCATTAAGTGTCTGAACTGTGGTGTCAAAAGTGCGTTTACGCGGGTTCTACGACGAAATCAGGTCGTAGTACTGGTTGAGCTTTCGAAGTAGGGGATGTACCTTTCAGGAAGCATCTTGGCCAGTAAAGTCCACTTCGAAGTGGTCTGCGTAACGCCTGAACTAAGCACCGAAAGTCTCATTGGCATCAGGGCTGCAGTGGAATTAAGTGATGCCTACTGGCGATATCATCGACTGAAGGAACTATTAAAACTAGCGTAGTAGGCGATAATTCAATACCAGAAATTTTGGATTGCATTAAGATCTCGATAATCCTCATTTGTTGTTCAAGGAATTTGTTCAACTTCGATGCAGAAGCTCTGGAAGGAAGGGAAGGTACCTGCTGACTGGTTGGAAGAAGGGTTACCTTGTGAAACTCCCAAAGAAGGGGGACTTAAGTCTTTGCAAGAAATGGCGCGGAATCAAACTCCTGTTCACTCCAAGCAAAATATTAAGCCGCATCATCCTGGAGAGACTAAAGGATGCGCTCGATTCAAAACTACGACTGGAACAGGCTGGCTGGCTGGATTCAGGAAGTACAAATCATATGCGGATCAAATTCCAACGCTGCGCTGCACATCATCATAGAACAGAGCACAGAATGGCGATTAACCCTCTACATCAACTTCATCGACTCCGAAAACGTCTTCGACAGCGTCGATCGACAAGTAATCTGACAACTGCTCCAACAACAAACCTGTATTAACCTCATTCAACAACTATATGAAAACGCCACATGACAAGTAATTCACAATGAGAAGCTCAGCTCAGTAGTGACTTTGAAGTGAAGATGAGACAGGAGTAAAACAAGGCTACCGTCTACTATCACCCATGATATTCTTGATTGTGGTCGACTGGATCATGCAACAAACTTTGAGGAGCGAGGAGACGAGCATACGCTGGACCACAGAAAAGAATTTAGAAGATTTGATTTAGACTTGGATTTCGTCGATGACTTGTGTTTAATGTCACACAAACTTGAAGATCTTCAGGCGAAAACTAACAAGTTGACAGAAGAGGCAAAGCAGGGCAGGGCAGGGCAAAACAGGGCAAGGCATTGAAGACGACACTTCCTTCACGTGATCGTGGAGAAAACAGAGGTGATGAAGATACCCAACGCCACCGAAGCCACCAACACTATCAACAACAACAAGCTCCAATCACCATCAATGGGAGAAACTTGAAGGAAGTAGTCTCTTCCACCTACCTGCCTAGGCAGCACTGTTTCAACTACACGTGGCACACGCACACACGAAGACGTCAAAGCCAGCCAGCATTGGAACAACATGCAAGACAGACGTTCATTAGCCTGAAACCAGTGTGGAGATCTTCTGCACTCCACTCAGCATAAAGCGTGAACAACATCCGCATTTTAAACACCAACGTCAAGTCAGTGCTTCTGTGTGATGGTTCAGAGACTTGGCGCATTAAGAAAGCCATTTCCAACAAACTACAGACATTCATCAACAACTGCCGTCTACTCTGGCTCGTCACTGAAGCTCAGATGAGAAGACGAGAAAGAATAAGTAAGAAGGAACTCTGGCTGGCTGGCTGGCTGGCTGGCAACGAATCAACGAAGCAAGAACCTATCTCTCAACAAATATGCAGTGGAAGGAAGTGGAGATGGATTGGATTGGGCATACATTGAGAAGACCAACTGGGGACACCACGCGCCAGGTCAGTTGGTCGAGTGGAACCCAGATGGGAAATGATGAGTTGGGCGTTCGAGGTGAGGGTGACATGGAGGAGATGGTGTGAGGAATAAATGAGAGCTTGTGGGCAGTTGTGGAGTCAGGTTGAAAAGATTTCAGAGAAGAGAGTGGAATGGTGCGTGCTACTGAATCCCTATGTTTCATTAGGAACCTAAGGGACAAATAATAATATAATATAAATAGTTAGCTTTTTAAAATAATCCTATTGTTTTGCTGATCCATCGTCTGTTTTGATTGGTGACTCTGTGGACTAGGCTTTTTTTATCTGTCCCTATATCAGTAATATTATATAATTCAAGGTCTATGGTAACTTTTTAGTCTTAGAGGTTTTAACTTCTTTTTACTTCATTCATAGGCCAGTCAGTGATTTTCTCAGGTCATCAAAACTTATTTAGGATAGTATACATAGAGAAGTTATCAACATATAACCAGAGATTACTGAATGATAGTCCAATTCATTACATCAAAGGAGAATACACCAAGATGAAAGAGATAGTAGAAAGTTGTCGAAAGAGAATAAGGAAGAATGCAAGAATACTGAAGTTCAGTAAGACCATTAAGATAAAGATTGTAAAGTATGCCACCTAGAGTTTATAACCACGGATTTCTGTTGTCGTCTGGACTTCAATCGGGAAATCTACATTCCCCTACACGATTCAGACAAGTAGTCAAAAATTTCATTCAGTAATTCAATATTTTAGTCTGGCCACTTCTAACCTTTTTCTGGTCTAAACCTATTTCATCCAACATTCATCCAACGTCTTCATCTACGCATTCATCATCTACTAAGGAGTCTCTTGTGCCAAGATCAATCCCAGTGAAAAATCATGCAACAAGATGAAGACCTCTACAAGTGGGTCTTCGGTACAGTTGAATAGGAACGGGAAGAGTTGACAACCTTGATAAACACTACTCGACCCCCTACAACTCATCTGATAAGATCAGAAGATCAATTATTAAGAGAATGAACAACTCGCCTTACAGATATGTCTGAGTTCAAAAAGACACATCAATACATAATCACTCACTATCTCTTTCTATCTGACTTTGAACACTTACTTTCCACTTATTACACCATCTGGATTCAGCATTGGTACTATCTTGAAGATGAACATTTTGCGTAATTCAATCATTTTCATATCATCATTTGATAAAAGATGTTGAAGTAAACCTTTCATAACCCAACTAGAATTTGATTCACCCGAGTGTACACGACATGTAATAACAATATAACGACGTTGATTATTACCAGTAGATTCATCTAAGGAAAAAAATCCACCAAAGGGAATTGTTTGAATATAATTGAACATTGATCAAAATTCGTTATCGTAAACACTTATCACAATAGTGAAGAATATTTGTAGCTCAGGTGGATGGTTTTGGTTGTTTTATGTTCTCTGAGTTAAGTTGTTTTCATCATTTTTCGCCTAGACAACATCATCAGAACTAAATTCAGTATGAAGGAAGCTGTCAATATCTCTCCGTGAGTGATATCAGAAATCACGACAAGATTACTAAGATCACTTAGAATTGCTGTAACCATTCATAAACCAACAAATTGCCTACAAACACTATGATGCAGACCAAAGGATGCAATAAACACAGGAAACAAACCGAATATCATCTACAAAATCAACTATAATAACTGTGGTCGACCCACCTTCGCCTTCGTCTACATGAACACCAATTGGTTACTAAGCCTTAAACACAACATTCCATCACTCATTTCAAGTCACGTGGATAACAACTATGGAGATGAATTCAATTTTGACAATGTAAAAATTTTGGACAGAGGAAACACAAAGGATATCATCAGAGAATTCATAGAAGCTTCACATTCAGATCAATCAGTCAGTCAGTCAGTAATCAATAGTTGTATATACATAGACCCAATCTATCAACCAATAAGAAAAAGCATAAATGACACAAAGGTCAGAGGTCAGGCAGAGGAACAGCTAACAGGAAAATCTGTGCAGTCAGTCAATGACACAACAATCAAAGGAAACAACCAATTACAAACCAGTTTGTCAGAGCAAGCTACTAAATCACTCACGGAGAGGTACTTAAAGCTCACTTCATGCTGAAGTTAGTGATGTCACTGTCTAGAAAGACGATGAAAGCTTCAAGACTAACCAACCAAGCTCAGAGAACACAATACAACTAAGGCAGTAGCTACAAATTAGTTTACTGATGTTACTGAATATGTCTAAGGGTTTTTATCTGAAAGCTTAGAAATAAAACATCACATTAATCAGATTATAGGACTTCTTTGCAGAGTAACAATTTACTACTAGAATTGTGATGAGACATCTCAGCTTGTGAGTATGATCAAGAGAATTAGAGGGTTCCATCTTAGCCCGTTTATTAGAAATGTCACAGTGAAGGAACAGTATCACTTATTGGATAATGTTTCAGACACAATTTATTGTCCATATTCATATCAGATAACTAACTTCACAACTTCAAGACAGAGTTTGTATAGTCCTGATTCTCTTGCCTTCTCTGTGATGACAAGGATAGTAGAATTCTCCATATATCTGGGACACGTGCAGAATCATTTCTGTTACTGCATGTATTTAGTATTGGTTCGATAAACAAAGATTCAGCTATCAATCTCTTCCTGTATCCAACCAAGTTAGTTTTCAACACTGTCACCCTACCCCACTCTATTTTGTGGTTGTGTGTAATTGCGCTCAGAGGTATAGCCGAGCATTTCTCTAAATTTCTTATCTTGTGAGGATCTACTAATCTTGATATAGCCGACCCTGATTAGTCGGCTGCTTTCACTTGTGTATTTGACCTCACAATCATTGCGAGGGATTTGATAAACCAGATTATTTTGCTTAATTGCATCAATAGGACCTTTTAACCTACAAAGCTTGTTTCTAAGCGAGTTTGTTGGTCTAAATGACACTCTAATCCCAGAAGCCTTATTGAGAATTCTTCGTAATGTTTCCGAAGTGCTTTCCTTGTATCGTGACACAGTAGACGCTTTGAATTCCCTCTCGACCCTGTCACCCTTATTGCTGTCATCAGTAGAATTGTTATGAATAACTAGCTACTTAGCTAGCTAAGTAGTTTCCAATAGTAGACCCTGTAGACACCACCCTGTTATCTCTAGGGAGATAATTTCTAGGTAGTTTTCTTCAACATTCCTAAAAACCTTAAAGTGTTTAAAATATCTGTGCCATCTGAATAAGATGATCAATTTACAAATAGTTTGCTGATTGCATGGTTCATGTTGAAATTACTCATTGGCAAGTAGTTTTTCAACTGCCATCCAACTTTTGTAGCTATGAAACATGGGCATTAAAAGTTTTTGGTGTTTGAGACCATCACTGTCTTCGTAGCATAGGCCATGTTTCGTGATGTCACCACGTGAGTAACGCAGAAGTCAGGTGTAGAGTTTTGTGGAGGAGAGGTAAGACAGTTGATGGTACTGTGAACCTTCATCGATTAAGATGGCTGGCTGGAATATGTGTTCAGTATGCTTAACCATCATCTACCTCGTCACAAATTGTTGGCTGAAGTAGGTTAAGGCTGAAAAAAGGTTCGAGGTGGCCATACTAAGACATGGCATGAATGCATGAAGTAGTTGACTGTTGGTTTAAGCCATCCAGGGCGACGTAGACCAGACGGTTGGGGTCCGCGAGACCCGTTACGCTCAATTGTTGATCTTGATGATGATAACCTAGAAAGTATTCACTTCCTCAAAAGCTACTTAATTAGGAAATAAAAAAATATAGTATTTACCTGAAGAATTATCATTTTGTGTAATAGTAATTAAAGGTACTGGATTGCACAGAATAGTTGAAGTTAATTGTTGAATACGAAAGTAAATATCTGTTGAATTGTTCAATGTTTGATTTTGCCATTTGTTTAAATCAGTTAATAAACGTGTATAAGTATATGGATAATGATATGCAAGGTAACACACATCACCAGTATACGGAAAACGTATCATAAATGAAGCGGTATAATAAGTTCCTCCATCTATATTACCTAGAAAAGGAAAATAAAGATGGGTAACATTTGTTATGATATTTGAAATTCCCGAAATGTTTGACTTTTTCTATTGGCAAACAAGCTCCTATTGACCAACACAGAAACCCAGGAAGCGCGTTTCGTACCATTTAGGACTCGTCAGTTGGATGTGCCTGTACCCCAGTGAGTTTTGTTGTTCTCACTGGGACTTGAACTTAATACCTATCGCTTCAAACGCCAATGCGTTGCCCAATATGCCAGTGAGGTATGATAGCCACCTCTTGTGCGACGGGTATCATTTGTTGTGATGGAAACAACATCATCCACTAGGGTGCAGGTACATCCAGCTGACAAGTCCCAAATAGGACGAAACGTACGTCTCGGATTCCTCTACTAGTCAATAACATGAATATGCGTCACATTTCTTGCTTAAAAACCAGTAATCCTGAACAATACGAGGTTACTGAAAGCTCGGAAGGCAGCACGATCAGATGGAATTCCTCCACAAGTACTGAAGACAGACGCAGAGACGACAGCGGACATGCTCACACCACTTCTACTACTGAAGGTTTGCAAGGAAGGAAGGAAAGGTACCTGCCGACTGGTTGGAAAAAGGGATACCCTGTCAAACTCCCAAACAAGGGAGACGTAAGTCTTTGCAAGAACTGGAGCGAAATCATGTTTCTGTCCACCCATAGCAAAATATTAAGCCGCATCATCCCGTAGCGAGCAAAAAATGTCCTGCAGTCAAAATTATGGCCAGAACAGGCCGGCTTCAGGAAAAACAAATCATGTGCAAATCGAATTGCAACGTCACGCTATCCGTCATCATAGAACAGAGTATAGAATGGCAGTCAACTCAACTCATTTACCCAAACTTCATCGACTTTGAAAAGGCCTATGACAGCATCAACCAAGAAGTAATTTGACAGCTGCTTCAACATTACGGCTTTAATGCCACAAACCTTTATCAACCTCATTCAACAGCTGTATGCCATATGGTGCTATATACCGAGTGATTCATAATGAAAAGCTCAGTGACGCCTTCGAAGTGAAGAGAATAAGAAGTAAGACAAGGTTGTCGCTTACTATCACCGATGACCTTCCTGATTGTGATGGACTGGATCATGCAACAAACTGTGAGGAGCAAGAAGATGGGCATACGCTGTCTGACCGACGAAAAGACTCCAGAAGGTTTGCATTTCGCCGATGATTTGTGTGTAATTTATTGTCCTACAAACTCGAAGATCTACAGATGAAAACCAACAATTTGGAAGAATACGCGGGGCAGTGAAGACGGCACTTCCTTCACGTGAACGGGTAGAAGACAGAGGTGGTGAAGATACTCAACCAATCAACTAACCAACCAACCAACGAACAAGAACAACAACAATCACTAATCATCGTCAAAGGGAGAAATGTGAAGAAAGTTGTCTCTTTCACCTATTCACCTAGGCAGCATCGTCTCAACTACAGGCAGCGACACAGGCACAAATGAGGATATCAAAGCCAAACAGGATCGGAATGACAGCAAGACAGACCATCCTTCATCAATCTGAAATCAGTGTGGAGATCTACTGCACTGCACTGCACTGCGCTGCACTCAGCATAAAGCGTGAACAACATCCGGAGTAGCAACACTAATTCAGTCAAGTGAGTCAGTGCTTTTATGTGCTGGTTTGAGAGAGTTGGCGCCTTACGAAAAGCATTTCCAACAAACTTCAGACATACATGATCAGCTATCGCCTACACCTATGCTTCCGCCCACGCTCACTTGATAGTGAAGATGAGGTGAGATGAGAAGAGAAGGCGAGAAAGAATAAGCAAGGAGGAAGTGTGGCATGATAACGAACCAACCAAAGAAGCAAGAAGCTGTCGCCCAGAATGAAGTGGAGATGGACTGGATTGGACATATACTGAGAAGTCCGAATGGGGGCATCACACGTCAGGCTAGGCCAGGCCGTCGAGTGGAGGCTAAATGGTAAAGGACGAGTTGGACGTCTGAGGTTCACATGGTGTAGATGGTTTGAGGAAGGGATGAAAGCTTCTGGGTAGTGGTGGGGCAGCTTCAAAAGACTTCAGAGAAGAGAGTATAACGCGACATGCTACTGAGGCTCCATGTTTTACTAGGAACCCAAGGGACAAAATCATAATAATAATAATAATAATTAGATATGAAGCTCATTGAAAATAAGGTAAAAATAAGCATTTATTTTATTCAACAATTGAAACTTCGTTAGTAAACAAACAGAATATAATCTGATTCTACAGTAAATACATGAGTTTCTGAAATAGGTCAATGGATCCTTCAAATCTGCATGTTTCACTAGGATGTTATATAGTTATACTTATTTTAGTTAATGTTGGGCAAAATGTCAACTTTCTAAGATTATCATAGATTTCAAGAAATGCAAAATCTTTCAGCTTATTAAAAAAAAAAACAAGTTGATGAAGATGATGATAGCTGAGTCAATTGATAACTATGCTACTTACATTTTCAGCCTAGAACACTGACTCATTGAAAATGTCAACTATAATCCAATACTTCTTTATAGAGGAACTATTCTTTCTAACCCAACTGACATAGATCAGTTTTTTTCTAGATGATAGCACTGGATAATGTTTTCATTCTAGTATGGGACTTGTCACTGGGGATCGAACTCAGGAGCTTCCGATCTCGTAGCGAGCCCGTTAACCATTAAACCTCTCAAAATAGTGTGATTAAAGTTTGGTTTTCGGTGATAGCTATTTGTAATACGTAAAACGTTTCACAGCTTACAGAAGGATAGTTTAACAATATATTTGAAACAGTTTGGAATTCTTAGGTTGTATAAACTAACTAATCTACCGACGCCCCACTTCTAGGTCTTATGAACGGTTTCACGTCTTGAATAGATTCTAACGTAGCTGACAAATGGTTAGGCATTGATTAAATTTGTAGGATAAAGGCACGATTTTCCCTGGGATTGTGATGGAAAACAGTCTCCTTAAATGCCATATTCGAACTAATTGTGAAACAAAGATGAGAAGAATGGAAAAATAACCAAGGTGAACAAAGGAGAGTAGATGGAAAAAAAGAAAAATAAGTTTAGGAAGGATCATCAAGAAACCTTGATGAATAGGGTGAAATCGTAAAGATTAACAGATAGGAAAGGTATTGGGAAGATTATAGCAGCGAGAATGAAAACAGAAATTATAATGATACCAGTAGTGATACAGTAGGTGAAGAGATAAAAAAGTTGAACAGAATAATAGTGCTGATGAAAGAGAATCAGTATGAAATCAACACTACTGGATTAATGCAACGTTAGTTGTAGAAATTTCAGTTTCATCTTATCGATTCGTATACTCTCTTTACACAAGGTTTCCATTCATCAATGTTTCAATTCTTCCTCAAACTTGAAAAACAATAAGTTGGAAAGGTAGTAGGTATAATATGATTAAAGCGAATATTTGAACGATTAAAACAATCCAGAGAAAGGAGTAATCTGATGCGATATATTCCGCGGGAAAATTTTTTTAAATTTACACCGTTAACATTCTGTTAAACTGAGTAGTCGTTACAGTAATGTACCAATAACAACTGATTATTCACATTCTATAAATATTGTAGACGAGATTATTTAATTCCTTTTAAAGGTTACTTTCTTTTTATAGTTTCTTATCACATAGATGATTTATTATTATATTATTATTAGTCCCTTGGGTTCCTAGTGGAACATAGGGATTCAGTAGCACGTCCCCAGTGAAATCTCTTCTCTGAGATCTTTTGAACCTGGTTCCACGACAGCCCACAACCTCTCATTTCCTCCTCGCACGATCTCCTCCATGTCACCCTCAACTTGGACACCCAACTCGTCGCTTCCCATGGGGATTCCACTCGAGCAACTGGCCTGACGCGTGATGTCCTCAGTCCGTCTTCTAAGTGTATACCCAATCCATCTCCACTTCCTCCTGCATATTTGTTGCGTGATAGGTTCTTGGTTGGTTCGTTGCCAGAGCTCCTTGTTGCTTATTCTTTCTTGCCTTCTCATCTGAGCTTCAGTAGCGAGCGTAAGCACTTGTTGATGAATGTCTGTAGTTTATTGCAAATCCCTTTCGTAACGCGCCAAGTCGGTGAACCATCACACAGAAGCACTGACTTGACTGAATTGGTGTTGAAAATCCGGGTCTTCTTCCGCATGCTGAGTGCAGAAGATGTCCACACTGGTTTCAGGCTAATGAAGGTCTGTCTTGCATACTGTTCCAATCCTGACTGGCTTTGACGTCCTTGTCTGTGCGTGTGCCACCTGTAGTTGAAACAGTGCTGCCTAGGCAGGTAGGTGAAAGAGACTACTTCCTTTGAGTTTCTTCCGTTGATGGTGATTGGAGCTTGTTGTTGGAGTTGGAGTTGCTGGTGCGGTATCTTCATCACCTCTGCCTTCTCTATATTCACTTGGAGTCCCGTCTTCGCTGCCTCTTCTGCCAACTTGTTAGTTTTCACCTGCAGATCTTCAAGTTTATGTGACATCACAAGTCATCACTGGCGAAATCCAGATCTTCTAGGTTCTTTTCCGCAGTCCAGCCAGCGTATCCCCCTCTTCTCACAGCTCCCCACTGTTTGCTGCATGATCCAGTCCAGTCGACCACAATCAGGAATATCATGGGGGATAGTAGGCAACCTTGTTTCACTCCTGTCTTCACTTCAAAAGCATCACTGAGCTTCCCATTGTGAATTACTTGGCATGTAGCCTATTCATATAGTTGTTGAATGAGACTGATAAAGGTTTACGGTACTCCGTAGTAGTGAAGCAGTTTCCAAATTACTTCTCGGTCGACGCTGTCAAAGGCCTTCTCAAAGTCGATGAAGTTGAGGCAGAGAGCTGATTGCCATTCTATGCTCTGTTCTATGATGATACGAAGCGTGGCAATTTGGTCTGCACATGATTTGTACTTCCTGAAGCCTGCCTGTTCCGGTCGTAGTTTTGAATCCAGTGCATCTTTAAGCCTCTCCAGGATGATGCGGCTTAATATTTTGCTTGGTGTGGACAGGAGAGTGATTCCGCGCCAGTTCTTGCAAACATTGAGGTCTATCCCATAGATGATGGTTGCAGACAATAGTCAGGCTACCTATCATATATGCAAAAACCTAAAATTAGCTGAAATCTACGATTTTATACATTTAACACTACTGAGAACAATTTGAACAAAGAACATTCTTTTCAATACATATTCTTCGTCAGAGTCTACAGTAGTTGTAAAATGCAATTGTACGGCATAAAAGTAAGTTAAGTTTGAGGGGAATAAATTTCGAAATAGATTGTGAGTTAAGGACTGTAACGAAATCGAATTTTCGTTCTCAACTTATCACTAACACGTACACATACAGAATGTGATGGTAAGTGAAAGGACATGAAATAAGAAAGATATGAGTGACCATTAGTTTATTGAAGTTCAAGAGAGGAATATCATTTCAACGTGTTCTTTCTGAATGCAAAGTTCAGGGTTGGTTACTAATATTATGAAAACCTCAGCTATATTGAGCAGACACTGACTAGTTACACTTGATATTGCATCTTATAATTGTAGACCGTGATGGGAATATCTACTGAAATGAAAATTCCTATATTTAAACAAGCATTTACTATAGTCAAACTGTTTCCTTCAATCATTCATCACATCACAACGTGGCGGCCTCATAGTCAAACACATGATTTGATCAGATCATCAATTTTAATTCAGTTCACTTTTACGTTCAAAGGATGCACTGGATTAAAAACTATGATCGGAACAGGCTGGCTGACTTCAGGAAGAACAAATCATATGCGGATCAAATTGCAACGCTGCGCTGCGCATCACCATAGAACAGAGCACAGAATGGCAGTCAACTCTCTACCTCAGGTTCATCCATTTTGAAAAAGCCTTCGATCGAGGCGTCAACCGACAAGTAATCTGGCAACTGCTCCAACAACAAACCTGTATTAACCTCATTCAACAACTACATGAAAACGCCACATGACAAGTAATTCACAATGAGAAGCTCAGCTCAGTGGTGACTTTGAAGTGAAGATGAGACAGGAGTAAAACAAGGTTGCCGCCTACTATCACCCATGATATTCTTGATTGTGGTCGACTGGATCATGCGACAAACAGTGACGAGCTAGAAGAGGGGGATACGCTGGATTGGGGAAAACATCCTAGAACATTTGGATTTCGTCGATGACTTGTGTTTAATGTCGTACAAACTTGAAAATCTACAGGCGAAAACTAACAAGTTGACAGAAGAGGTAGGGCAGGTCAGATCAAATCAGGGCAAGGCATTGAAGACGACACTTCCTTCACGTGATCGCAGAGAAGACAGAGGTGATGAAGATACCCAAACAACGCCACCAACACCATCAACAACAACAAGCTCCAATCACCATCAGTGGGAGAAACTTGAAGGAAGTAGTCTCTTCCACCTACCTGCCTAGGCAGCACTGTTTCAACTACAGGCAGCACACAAACAGACGACGACGTCAAAGCCAGTGAGGATCGAAACAGCATGCAAGACAGGCGTTCATTAGCCTGAAACCAGTGTGGACATCTTCTGCACTCCACTCAGCATAAAGCGTGAACAACATCCGCATTTTAAACACCAACGTCAGTCAGGTCAGTGCTCCTGTGTGATGGTTCAGAGACTTGGCGTGTCACGAAAGCCATTTCCAATAAACTACAGATATTCATCAACAACTGCCGTCTACTCTGGCTCGTCACTGAAGCTCAGATGAGAAGGCGATAAAGAATAAGTAAGAAGGAAATGTAGCTGGCTGGCTGGCTGGCAACGAACCAACGAAGCAAGAACCTATCTATCAACAAATATGCAGTGGGAGGAAGTGAAGATGGATTGGATTGGGTATACACTGAGAAGGCCAACTGGGGACAGCACGCGCCAGGTCAGTTGGTCGAATGGAACCCAGATGGGAAATGACGAGTTGGGCGTTGGAGGTGAGGGTGACATGGAGGAGATCGTGCGAGGAGGAAATGAGAGCTTGTGGGCAGTTGTGGAGCCAGGTTGAAAAGATTTCATGGAAGAGAATGCACCGAAGATGTGCTACTGAATCCCTATGTTTCATTAGGAACCCAAGGGGCAAATAATAATAATAATAATAATAATAATAATAATAATAATAATAATATATTAATGATAATAATCATGTTTACGTTAAGGGGAAAAAGAAAGATGCCCAGAAATATGATCACAGTAACATGAGGTAATAAAACCTACGTTTTCGAGTTAACTGTCGAATAAAATGATTCCTATAATAGGTGATATGTGAACCAACACGTCTCCAATGTGGACGCGATTCAAGAGCTTCACGAACTGAGAACAAAAGAGGTTGCATACCTGTAAAATACACAAAATTAGGGGAATGTGCGATAAATCTTAGGCAGAAATAGATTAATACATTAAAAAATAGCCTGTTGAAATATTTCATGCCTATGACTTCTTGAAAAGGTTGTTATCACATAAGTTTTTGTTTAGTTAAGACTACGCTATTGAATAGATCAGTGTCAAGCTCAGGAATTCACAAAGAAGTAAGCATAAAAGTGTCTTTGACGGTTCTAACTTGATTCAATCGAGTACACAGAGACTGGAATGATGTAAGAACACAATACAACAAAGTTTATCGAAAGTCACTACCATAGTGGACAAAACTTCCTGCATAACAATATATACCCTGAAGTAAATGGAAGTTTATCGACAAATATGAGTATGGAGTTCAGTTTCCAATGTGAAGTAGAGGCTTTTCTACCTTGTGTATCACTCACTGTAGGTTGTATAATTTAAACAATTTCCAAGAAATTTATTTGGATAAAGGGAATAAATCAATTACATGTAGACACTGCCGAAAACCACTTCTTCCCAATCACCTCTGACTGTCTATTTTGAGAAATTGAATCAAGGTGCAGCTTCCAGATAGGAATACTAATACATAGTCCATTTGCATCATTTCTACACAGAAATACATTTATGTCTACAAAGGATAAATAATAATGCTATCCATCACATCCTGTTAAACTGCTCCATCTTTAAAGAATGGAGCAAGAATGAATCGCTAAGCAGATCGAAGTAATCTGAAGATCGGATGGCTGATCGGAAGTCTACTTGAACTGAATCATATCAGAGGATTGATCGTCTAAATCAATCAACCTCTATTTAGTTTCTTGAATGAATTGATGGTACACGGAAACAACTCAGAAATATGAGGAATTAAACGATGAACTCTTCGCTATTTAGATCGATAAACTAAATCTAATTAGTGAATAGGGTGTAGAACTACTTATATCCCCCTAGTAGTATATATCTTGAAACTAAATATTCTTTTTCTCCTACAATTGTTAACTACAATTCAACTACGGTTACAACAACATTAATTTCACCAGCTGAAGAAATATATCCTTTATTCATAAAGAAACAAATTAGTTCATATGCTGAATAATTCAAATTATCATATATCATATTAATTCATGATACAGAACAAACAATTCATCAGGATGATGTATAATCTGATCTCAGTGACTATAAAATCTTATAATTTCGAAAAAAAAGTTTTTTTGTCTAAAGGACGATTAGTACTTTTCAAAAGGAGTAAGTGATATTTCAACAACAACAAAAACGTGTTTATTTACTATTTAAGTATCACCAAAAAATTTATGTGAACTAGCAACTAAGTATACAAAACAACTAGACCATAGTTGTTACGGATATCCTGGAAGAAGTTGACCACCGAGTCTGATATAATCATTATCAGAAAATATTTTATGATAATCCCAGTGTATTACTATTTACTGGTATACTTGTAATTCCCCATTGTTTTATTGGATAGAATTGTACGACGCCTACTGGCGGCGAATGTCACGATACTGCTTGGTTGTTAATTATAATAATTTGGTTGGTCGAACAATTCGATCCAATAGAACAACAGAGAACTACAGGTATATATCAATAAATAGTAATAACCAATACTCATTGTACAAGAAGTAGCTAACGTGCCTCCGTGGCATAGTGGATAACGCCTTGGGTGTTTGAAACGATGGCTATAAGATCCGACTCTCAATGGGGACAACGTTGCCCACTGGGGTGCAGGTGTATCCAGCTGACAAGTCCTAAATGGGATGAGATGCACATCCTGTATTCTTCTGCTAGCCATAATCAACCATATTACTATAATCCCAGTGTGTTTAGACAATGATTTCAGGTTTTTTCTGAACACTTTGCTATGTAAGCCACAGTTTCCCTACCAGAATATATGGAGATTTCTTAACATCAAATGTTTCATGAATGTCGGTCATTGGTTAGATGATTTTTTGTCCAGCCTGAGTAACTAAGATTTTGAGGGAGTTGTGGAGATTTGGAATTATTTCAAGTTGTTATTCATCGTAGACTGACATCAGTTGGAGGAACAAAGGAAACCTGGGAGCACTGGGCATATATATATATATATATATATATATATATATATATAGTGAGCTAACAGAAGTTGGAAATATGGAGCATTGGATTCTGACCCAGAGGCTCAATGGTAACGCGCTGGCCGCGGAACCTGAAGATCGCGGGTTCGATCCCTGCTGGTGGGGTCGTGGGTGCGCACTGCTGAGGAGTCCCATACTAGGACGAAACAGCTGCCCAGTGCTCCCAGGTTTCCTTTGTTCCTCCAACTGATCTCAGTCTACGATGAATAACAACTTGAAATAATTAAGATTTGTTATTTGTTCACAAAATGTAGGTTAGTCAGTGTGTATGTTTATGTATATTGTAGAATACGTGTTTTTGTAAAGCGAGAACAACAAATATTGTGGGAGGAATCAAATTCATTTTGTGTGCTCTAAATCTTCGACATAGGCACTACATTTAAAAATTGTGTGCAGTAAGCCATCACTGTTCAGTGTATAAGTCATTTGATACATTTCAGTAGTAAACTCAACACCATATATATCCTTTTTTATTTTTAAAAGTCTACCAGACTCTTCCCAGGGAGTCATAGAAAATGAACTTGAAACCATAAAAAAAAACTTTGCTCCAATCACCATCAATGGGAGAAACTTAAAAGAAGTAGTCTCTTTCACCTACCTGCCTAGGCAGCACTGTTTCAACTACACGCGGCACACGCATAGACAAGGACGTCAAAGCCAGCCAGCATCGGAACAGCATGCAAGACAGACCTTCATTAGCCTGAAACCAGTGTGGACATCTTCTGCACTCCACTCAGCATAAAGTGTGAACAATATCCGCATTTTAAACACCAACGTCAGTCAAGTCAGTGCTCCTGTGTGATGGTTCAGAGACTTGGCACGTTACGAAAGCCATTTGCAACAAACTACAGATATTCATCAACAACTGCCGTCTACTCTGGCTCGTCACTGAAGCTCAGATGAGAAGGCGATAAAGAATAAGTAAGAAGGAAATGTAGCTGGCTGGCTGGTAACGAACCAACGAAGCAAGAACCTATCTCTCAACAAATATGCAGTGGGAGGAAGTGAAGATGGATTGGATTGGATTGGATTGGATTGGGCATGCACTGAGAAGACCATTCGGGACATCACGCGTCAGGCCAGTTGCTCGAGTGGAATCGAAAGGGGAAACGACGAGTTGGGCGTTGGAGGTGAGGGTGACATGGAGGAGATCGTGTGAGGAATAAATGAGAGCTTGTGGGCAGTTGTGGAGTCAGGTTGTAAAGATTGCAGAGAAGAGAGTGGAATGGTGACGTGCTACTGAATCCCTATGTTCCATTAGGAACCCAAGGGAAAAATAATAAATAATAATAGATAATGGATATCCTATCAAGTTCATCAATAAACAATTTAAGCCTAAATATGAGAAACTGAATAATACAACCATGCTGAAAAAGAACGTGATCATTAGAACGCTATTTAAAGTAGATGAAATGAGTTCACGAAAAATAATCGCCGACTGAATACAACCATTACACTAACTTATATCTAGCTGCGAAATTAACAGTTGTCTATGGCATAAAGAACATGATCAGAGAAACTAACATGTGAGACCTTTTAATGTCATCTCTAATTGTATTCATTTATTTACCTGTACTTGAAGTAGTATATATATCAGAAGAAAGGAGACGATTCTTACTGAATGAATCTCTGAACATGTACCCGAGAAGCCTGTCATTGTCATTGAGAGGTGGAAAGCTATCAAACATCGCCATTGCTTAACTCATCCTCGATACATCTTATACTGTCAACTCAAACATACCTTTCAAGGTATTCGATACACAAGCAAATAATAGGTTACTACGTTATACAGAAATAGCAGCAATCTGTTAACTGAAACTAAACTTATGTGTCCAAAACGAGTCTGTGGTTCACCCTGCATTGCCTTGGTGATTTGTTCTTTTCCTACAGAGTTATTTGCCATTTTATTCTTTCATCTTATTGTTTTACATATTGTTCTCAAACATTATTCATATTCTCATCATTTTCGACAGTGACACAGACTCTGTACTTGCCTGTCTTGTATGAGAGTGTGAGTAGTATGAGTTGTAGGATGACGGTATTTGAGATGTTATTGTTGTTGATGTGTAGGTGTAGTGTGTTGTGTCTGAGGCGAATTTTGATTCTCATTTCGATAGGGTGGTTAGTGTTTGAATGAGTCGAGGATGCATTTAACATAGACGTGAGATATGAATGAATGGAGGTGTTGGTGTGTCTGATTATGTGAATGTGGTCGCTGGCTCAAGTCTTGCCGCGGTCCAGATTTTCATCTCATCTTCAATCATCACCCAGTACACATCCTCTTCCATTCATCTACGATTAATTCATATACTTTGCATACCATTTTTGTTGTTCTCCACCTTCTATCAGAATTCCTACCACCTTGAGCCTTAATCACATTCTTGTACTACTATCATGTCACATTTCACCTTGTGTTTACTGAACGATTTTATAGTCTGACTTATTCACCGTATTGATTGTTTAGGTCGTGGATGTACTGATGCTTAGATTTGAAGGATGTACTTCGTGTTGAGTTTACTACTGAAATGGGTCATATGACTCATACTGGACACTGATAGCTTACTGTATATACGTTTAAATTTACGGCATATGTGAACGGTTTAGAGCATATGAAATGAATTCGATTCATCTCACAATATTTCTTGTTATTGGTTTGCAAAACTTCGTAAAGGGAAGTAATTGTAATGTGGTTTTGAGATGAATGGGGACTTTAATTTAGAGGTAGTATTCATCAGGGAATGACATCAGCCGGGGAACCGTTGAAAGTCTGGGAATATTGGATCCTTAGGCTGATCGTGGGTGAGTACTGTTGAGGAGTCTCATACTAGGACGAAACAGCTATTTAATGCTGCTAGATTTTCAATGGTTCCC